AGAAGCTTACTAATGTACGTAACATTACAGGGGGGTGTAGAATGGAGAAAAAAAAACTATGTGCTAAAAATGAAACTTCACTTTGAGAAAACACTCTGGGAGTCTGCTGTTTTTGTGTCACCTCTTCTGTCCCTCCAATAATATTAATTCCACTTACTTTTATTGATACTTTGATCAACAGGCACAATGGATGTTACTTAAAGCTGAACCAGCTCATACTCTTATATTGACAATGTGTCTTGTAGCATATTGTTTTGATTGATTTTAAATAATCTCCATTTCCTGTCTCAGGGAGGCAGCTGTTTTGAGCCTAACAGCTCTTATAAACCGGCCTAGCATCAAACAGCAGGCAAAGTTAGCACCTGGCTAGTGGAACAGTTAAATAGCCAAATATTTCCCTCAAGGGTTAAATGGAGAACATAACAGAACGAAAAGGAGTTTAAATACTGGACTAACATTCGTCTTATTAGGTGATACTGTCAATGGTAATTTGCAAAGAATACTGCTTTAATCTGCTAGAAAGTGTATTTTTAAATAATAGCTCCAACCATTTCTTACCCTCTTCCTGGCTTGCAGGTTATACTGTGTTGATGTGTTTTCCAACCATTTCAGCTAACTATTGATTTCCATTATTTTTCCAACTGTGGTAAAAATCAATGAGCAGACTTTCAAAACTTACTTGAGTTGAGTAATTCATCATAATTTACATCAAATCAGAAATAAACTTTATTTCATTGCATTATGATGGAGAAAAATGAATGGAAATAAACGGCTATGGATCTCAAGAAAAATGCGCCCCAAAAACGTAAAGCAGCATGGCTTGTAAAAGCTGTGATGTAAAGTATAAGTGCGTTACAGTAAATGGGCTAAAACATGCAAAAACAGTGAGATGGTTTGGAGCTTTCAGAACAGAAATGTCCATCTGACAGCAGGGGAGACAATTACTCTGGTGAGGTCACATTATCTTGTTTAAACCATTAAATCTGAAATCGGCAGGACTTTTTAAAGTCATAGCCAATCTACCTTTTGTCTAATTATATGATGTCCAAGGTTTTAAATTACCCAGTAAGAGCTAAAAGTTCCGTCCTTTGTTGTCATATTACCAATCCTCCATCTCAGTAAGTGTCAAGATGAGTACTGACAATCCTCACATCACTGAGAGTAGACCAGAGTTGGATAAAGAACTGCACACACACACACACACACACACACACACATGCACTCACCCAGAGAGATACAGGCTGAGGTTAAGAAAACATAGACAAGCATCAGTTTTTTCCAGGGAGTCTCCATTATTTCTGGCTCGGGGTCTCTAATGGTATTTCATTGTAATTGCTATGATGTCAGAGTGTCCGTCCGCCCTAATGGCCTTCTAAAAACAACAACAAGGACAGATTGGTTCCATTCACTGCTTGTTGTCCAGGCAGAGAGACTCCGAAGTCCAGCTGCTCAAATCTCTGCAAGATCTTCAGCTGAAAAGGTGAGAAGTGTTTTTTTTAACATCAATTAGTAATGTAGGGCAGATATGTAACATTCATTTGACTTATAATCATTTTTAAGATACTTTGAACTGCTTTAAGGACAGAAAGTCTACATAATTATGTTAGCAGGCTTTTTTTTACACCACAGTGTAGTCCCATAGCTCATGTGGAGTTATTGTACTCACAGTGTGGTGTAGTATCTCATCGCCTATAAAAGTATTCACATCATTCTGTTCATGCAGAAAGTATTTTTATGTCAGTGTTATATTTCTTAATAAGCATTCTACAGTCTGGCTCAGTTGAGGTGATTCCAGTTGTTTTAGTGCAGTGTAAGTAGTTTGCTTGAAGAGTAATGAAGCAGATGTCTCCGGTAACATTACAGAAATGACCATTCATTCTGATTGAAACAAGAGAAGATAAACTGCTTTTTATGCCTGTAAGTGAAATGACCGAACTGTCAGATGTGTCACTTGAAAGGAAATTCAAATGCTTTTTTGTTGTTGTATATTTTTAGTTAGAAAGTTTAATTTAAGTTATTAATTACCCACTGAAAGAATTACTTTTTATTTATATATATATTTTCTTTTACAGTGTATAGATCGCTGCATTGGCTGCAGTAGCCATAATAAACACTAGAGGGAGTTGTGAGTCAAGTTGAATGTCACAGTATACTGCTCTGACTCGCTCTTTTCAGCTGTTTTGGTTCATCTTCCTCTGTAGGTATAAAATAGAGGCCAAACTGAATATTTTAGTCTGTAAACATGACAAAAAAAATAGTATCTATTATTTTAACTGTTTTCCACCCAGATAGAGAAGGTCACTTGTAGCCATAGCTGAGGAATAATGGATACACATATTTGAATAATAGTATTGCCTCCATCAAAGATCCTTTACTCTTTTTCTTCTTTTCCCAGCATGCATCTCCATCCCCTGTCCCCCTCTTTCCTCCTCCTCCTCCTCCTGGTTGCTGGGGCAGTGGAGGTGTGCGTGGCCCAGACAACCACACTTCACGGTTTCCGAGGCTGCGCCGTGCGAGAGTTCACCTTTGTGGCCCAGAAGCCGGGCTGCAACGGACTGCGCATCAGCACAGAGGCTTGCTGGGGGCGTTGTCACACCTGGGAGGTAAGGTTCATACACACACACACACACACACACACACACACACACACACACACACACACACACACAGTAAAGTGACAGAACATCAGTTATATTTAGCTGATGTAGGAGTCACACTCTTTTCTCTTGCTATTTCTGAAAGATTCCATAATACTGGAATTGTGAAACATGAAATAAATGATTAATGGCCCAGGACTCAACCCAAACCCAATGACCAATTCTCCACTCAGACCCATAATATGTCATTGTCGTAAGACGTGCTTAAATCCCTCCAAGCAGGGAGGGTCCCTGAACTTTTAATGAACTAATGTTAGTTTGTAAGGATTCAAATTGAACCTCTGAGTAAATTGAGAGAACAAGTTTTGAGGAAACTTTAGTCAGATTCAAAGCCTTTAGAGGAGAAAGAGCTCTAAATCCGCAACAACAGCGCTGACTCAGGCACATGGCAGAAGGTCATTATTTGAAGTCCACTTACTAGCTTTTTCCAGGACTTTCAACAGCATCTCATGGTCCTCTTCAGCAGCTGGAGGTTTCTCATTTGATGATAAAAATCTAAACTGCTGTTTAAGTGGACTTTTTAAACTGCATCTTCATACTTTTCCCTCCAAAGAAGACTGTGAGATGTAATTGAAAGCTCAGGGAAGAGGAAGTGGACCTTGGGTTAATCATTTTATTTATTTTTTGGTCAAGCTACCAAGTCCAGGGTCAAGAATGAACCAATTTAGTCATCATGTCTCCAACACATGCTTACAAAGTGTAGAGAGCTCAGAAACGTGTTGCATTCACTGCCAATATTCCCTGTTATGTGGGGAAACAGTGTCTCGTCAAAGAGCATATGGAGATCAAAAGTAACCCGTGTTCCACTTGTGTGTGTGTGTGTGTGAACCCTGCAGAAACCTGTGCCAGATCCCCCCTACATCCAGCGACACCACCGTGTGTGTACGTACAGTCGTGTCCGCCACATGACCGCCCGCCTGCCGGGCTGCCAGCCCAACATCTCCCCTCTCTACCACTATCCCATGGCTCTGCACTGCCACTGTGCCGTCTGCTCCACACAGGACACAGAGTGTGAGACCTTCTGATGGGCAGGACACCGCTTTCAGCCAACAATGTTATCAACAGTTTTACTGATATGAATGACTCTGAATAAAATTATGAAATCAAGACATTTGAGTAAGTGTGATACTTGACATCCAGGGACTTAGAAATGAGTCTTTCTGTCGACTGAAGATGTGTGTGTATGCTTATGCATGTCTGTTTGTGAGAAAGGAGATGTAGCAGAGCAAACATTTCAAAATAAGAGTTATCTGAGTTTTGAATACTTAAATCTTGAGGCTCAAAAAACTGCTATACATAATAATAATATACATTAATAACTTCTCAATATCATTATTTAAGTTTATATTGTACTCACATGGCACATTGATCGCTTGGGCAAAAACCTAGCGAAACTCTCGCAAGATGGTTGAGATTATACATAGACCTCGAATGGTTAAGGCTAGGAAGTATAATAAGTTACTTTTGTCTTATTACTCTTTAAAAAACTAATGATATGATTATGATGATATTATGTTACTTCTTATGTCACTATATTATATATGTTAGAGCACAAAAGTCAGTAAATCAGTCTGCATTGATCTACGAATGAATGTGGTAGATTCTGACAGTATCACTTCTGGTTTATGTTGTATGAAAACTTTCTCCTTTAGGGGGTGAAATCCCTGCAGCATGTGAAGGCAGCGGAGCACACAGAGCCTTTACGCACAGCTGTTCATTGTTGACCTTCATTAGATCGCCTGAAAGCGACACCAGGCTGCTACAGGACAAACATACACACCTCTACACACATCAGACTAGTCGATTATAACTCCATATTCTGCTTTTTTTATTAAGGAGACTTCCGGTTACCAGAGCGCATTGTAGCCTCCTTTCCAACTATATGACCAGTGATGTGACTGGCTGAGAGAGCATTTTAAAATCACAACACCTGCTGATTAATATTCACCGTCAACCAGTCATTTTACATGTTGTAGGCTACATACATGAACCAAGATACAAGGTGCGGATAGCGACGCTCACGCAGTCCTACCACCTTGCGCGAGGCATTTATTATTCAAATGTCAACTGAGCTCACAAAATACTCAGCTGAGGGTGCAATGCATGCTCTAACACCCTGGTAGAACCGGGCCTGACTTCTCGTTCTTAATACCGACATTTAAGGGGGCCTTGTGTGTTGGTTTCAAGACGCCCTGGGAGTGAGGCCAGGCTGGAGAAACAGTGGTGGTGAGGTTAATAGGGGCCAACAGCAGTGGTGTATAAAGTACCCAAAAGCCATACTTGAGTAAAAGTAAA